ATGTCAACTCCCAGCAACCCTATAAGTAGAATTGGTCCTGGAGAGTACAGTTTTCCAGACTGTAAATCTTCATAGGAGTAGAAAGTCCCATCTTTCTCCCCAACACATAACCACTGCACCACCAGGGCTTGTTCGTTCACATTCTCTCTCTCTGGCATCATTTCCTTAAACTTGTTGCAAAACTTCAATGATTTGGAACGATACCGACTCAAGTTTAAGAATTTTGTATTAGCCTTAATCTCTTACAATGGTTTTATTTTCCCCAACACACAAACGTCTCCTTTCTTGAAAGCACTGTAACAGACTAAGACTAGAGTGTTGCCATAGAGCTGGTCTGCAGGCATCCACAATCCCACAGATGTGCTTCACCATTTTTTACTTGGAATAAGCCGGTGCATGAACAAACTGGAACCTTAATAGCAACAATTTTTGCCTGACCTTTATATTACTGTAGGGCATAAACCATGCTTAGTGGCACTTGCCACTTTCAGTTGGCCAGTTCCAGGCTCTCAGTGAGACATGATGCCCTTGGGCAGGAGGTGAGGGGAGATGAGCACGACTGGAGCCTGCTCTAGCCCCTCAGACGTTAAGAGCCAAGCAGCTTCCATACACGAGCTTTTTATAGGCCATAAGGAAAGTGCAAGCATTCTACTGAAACTTACGATCGTAATCGAGCAATTTTCCTGATGCGAGACTTCCATCTTGGGAATTTATTTGGGGGTTGTAAATATAGGATTGTGCATAAAAAAACCCAAAACAATTCCTTGGTTAATTCAAAATGACATCAAGTCAATGTGACTTGTGGGGTGAATTATATAGAAATTTTTGTGTAAAACTCAGTAAACTTCTTGCATTCGGAAGGTTGCTTCCAGTGAATCTATTCTTACTTAATGGATTAAGCATATAATACTTTTATAAAAACAAGTTAAATGTACAGTTATATTTCAGGCATGAAAACATGGATTTTTAAATGCACTATGTACAAATTGCCCCTGACATTACGCCTTGCACCCAGGTGGTGTTTAAAGCCTGACGATGGGTGTATGTGTACCTTTTGAGAATCAGCACAGCAGAGTCAAACGCCTGGGCCTTTTAGACAGGTTCCTAGGTTCAGATCCCGTCTCTACCTTCGCCCACTATACCCCCGGGGTATCTTCCTAACTTGTATCCCTTATTTGTCAGGTTGTTGTGAGGAAGAAATCAGGACAAACTTTTCACAAGGTCTTTTTTTTAAATTGTATCCACAAGGTTTTAGAAAACTTGCCTTACACTTATGAATGTTCATATCATTCATGGCATTTTGAAATTCTGTAACATTACATAACTGGAAATCTTTAATATCCAGAACACAGTATTCCTAATTTAAAAAATCTGATTATGGTTTTATTACAAATAATGATAAAATGAGCAGGTACTTTATTACACAGGTATTGAAATAATCACAGTTAAGCTCTTTTTCATATAAAGTTATTTGTAGTTTCTTGACTGCTACAATTCATAATCTTTATAGCCACACAAGGGTGGTGAAATTAATTATGCTACCCTCAGAATACACAATTCTTCCCTAATAATGAAGAGGAAGGCAAAACAGGAATGCTACGAAGCTTCTTTTACAGGATTGAGGAAATTGATGGGTCAATACTATCACCTCATAGTAGCTCCCTTTTGGGACACTTCCATATATTAACTCCTTCCACTCTCAAGTCAAAAATTTTTTACCTCCTTTGGGCCAAGATACCCAACTTACACTCTCACTAAACACTTTTCATTTTGTAAGAATTTTATGTAAAACATTAAGTTATTATAGTACTTACCCCACTGGCAATGAATTGGGTCTAACTCTCAGTGACCCTACAGGACAGACTGCAATTGCTCCATAGGACTGCAAAGGCTATAAATCTTTGTAGGAGCAGACTGCCTCATTTTCCTTTCATGAAGTGGCTCACGCATTCAAACAGCGCGAGCCCAATGCCTTTAGGTTAGCAGCCCAATGCCTTTAGGCCTCTTTAGTAGTGGTACTTAATAAATGTTCAGTAAATGCTGTCAAATGGTTGAAGTGTATAGAATAGTTGCCTTGTATGTATTTATAAATTGATGTATACATGCTCTGTATGCACAATCTTGAAGTATTTTCCTATTGGTACAGTGCATCATTGGTTATGTGATTTTACTGTGGTCACTAGACTTTCTTTTGTCTCCTCTTTTTCTCAGGCAGAAAGCTTAGAAGACAAGAATACAGCTAAGGTTCATCTCTGGCAGCTGGAGAAGATGAAAGCACAGTATGATAGGCTGACACAAGAATTAGCCCAGAATGAGGAAGAGAACAAAAAACTGAAGCTAAAATATCAGTGCTTGAAGGAACAGCTAGAAGAAAAGGTAAATACGCACATGGATCTGTTCTTGGAAATATTTCATGCATTAACAAATGATAATGCTAGCCCTTCATAGGAAAGTTGTGCCAACCAAAGAAATTGTAGTTTATTAGAGTATTATGATTTTGATCCTTTTCATCTATCCAGTCACTTTATTAAAATTTTTTCATATCTTTAAAAATATTTTAATGTTTATACAGAAAATATCCAAATAAGTTTATACAGTAAATTTGGTTCAACTTGAATACTTTTTATAAAATGTTTCTGTGCCACTGGTTGTAGCTGTCGTCACGTCTTCTTTCTCGTTGTTCCCATGCGTCTTGTTCGGTTTCCCTTGGTCTGGCTGTTCTTCCCGCCTGGCCTCCTCATCTATGTTTTGGTTTAAGTGCTGATCATCTGGTCTCGAATTGTTCAAGAGGCCACATTACTCATGTGTGGTATTGATGATCTTAAAAGCCAGGGTATTGATTATCTTAAAAGACAGAGTATTCTGAAACGGGACTTGGAGAAATAGCTTAAATTCTAAATTGACAGAAGATTTTACGGGGATCGTCCTGGGGGTTCCTAGTTTATCACCTGCATCTGTCGCACTTGAGGTCTGAGTTCATTGTTGTGGTGGGGCAGCCTGGTGGGTGTGTGACCAAGTCACACATTGGGCTGTCTCCTCTTTTGTCTTAAAGCAGGAACATAGAAGAAAGATGGAAAAGAAGAAAAGCGAAGTTCTATTATGCCAACTGATTTACATATACCTACTCATTTAGTTCTGCTTTGTGGGCTAGGTCTTACTGATTCTTTTAATGTATGAGAAAACTAAGCTAAAAATATATCTAATAGTTGTTAGATGCTCAGTAGCTGTTGTCTTCGTTGTATCTTAGGCTCTGTAAACTTTATTCCTCATGGTAATTTTTATGAAATTCGTGGTAGGGTAGTGGGCTATGCATTGGACTACTATTTGCAAAGTCAGCAGCTCAAAACCATCAGCAGCTCTGCTGGAGGACAATAAGGCTTTTATACTCCTATCAAGAGTTACAGCCTCAGCGACCCACAGGGGCAGTTCCACCCTGTCGTATAGGGTCATTATGTGTTGTAATGGGCTTGATGCTAGTTAGGTTTTAAGACACTAAAATTTAAAAAGGGTTACTCTTACAGCCCCACTATGCTCACTGCCTTGATATCACTGCTAACTCATTCACTGCTATCCAGTTAATTCCAGCTCACAGTGACCTTATAGTAGATGCACATATTTATTTTGAGTGACTACTCTATAGTAGGGATTAGGCAATATAGGCAGGAGCTACATGAATTCTTTTTATGAAAACAAGTTTCATGATTACAACTCATGACAACCCACGTGTGTTGGAGAAGATCCACTATGTAGAGTTTTCAGTTCCTGATTATTCAGAAGTAGATCACCTTGGGGTGGACTTGTCACATTAATGGGTGCACAATCCAGGGACATTCCTTTATTTGAAATGGGCTAGTAAAACCTAGGTGAAGGACCTGTCGTTGCATCTGGATGGTATCACAAAAGTCTTCGTAAAGCTTTAGAAGGAAAATTTTAAAGTGTCTTGCTCACTCTTCTTTTTATTGTTTGTGAAATTCTACATGTTTATGTGTATATATATGAGGGGTTACCCCCCCAAAACAACAACAACAACAACAACAACAACAACAACAACAACAACAACAACAACAGAGAAAAGCTCCACAGGGTGGGGCTTTCTTACTACGCATTTTTCCTGCTAGGCAAGCATCAAGCAACCCTCTCTGAGTTAGTGCGCCCCGTGTGTCGCCTGGGAAGGTTCTTTCTGGTCACAGTGAATTTTTTCTTAAAAGCAGCTTCACTCGAAGCTCGTTTTTTGTGATGGCCGATTTAAGGAAACAGCGTGCTGCTGTGAAATTTGGTTTCCTGCTCAGGAAAAATGCCACAGGAACTGTTGTGATGTTGAACACAGTTTATTTTTACAAGGACAGCGCTATGGGAAAAACTCTAGTGTACGAATGGTTTTCTTGTTTCAAACAAGGTGAAATGTGGATTGATGATAAAACTCGTTATGATGTCTGTCAACTTCCTGAATGAATGAAAATGTTGACAAAATTAGTGCACTTGTGCTCTAAGACCGATGATGGACCACTGAAGAGATGGGGAAGTTATCTGGATTATCTTGGAGCTTGGTTCAGCGAATTTTAATGGAAGATTTGGGAATGAGAAGGGTCGCTGAGAAATTTGTGCCTTGGGTTCCGACTGACCAGCAAAAAGAGCATCTAGTGGAAACATGCTGTGCTTTGAAAGAACAGCTCTGAAGTTTCCCAGACGTTCTTTCCAAGGTCATTACTGGTGAGGAGACATGGTGGTTTTCTTACAACCCTGAAAGCAAACATCAATCAAGTCAGTGAAAAACGCCATTGTCACCTCGCCCCCCAAAAGCTCATCAAGTGAAATCCAAGTTCACGATGGTGCGTATTTGTTTTTGTTTGTTTATGTGAAGGGCGTTGCATTTGGAGTTGGTTCCACCAGGTTAGACTGTTAAGCAAGCTTTCTATTTAGAGGTTCTGAAAAGATTGCGTAGCAGTGTGCAACCAAAAAGGCCTGATTCATGGCAGATGTGGGACTGGTTTTGCCACTATAACAGTGTTCTTGCTCACGCAGCTGTATCAGTGAGCCAGTTTTTGGCCACAAACAGCATGCCTCTCTTGACTCTCACAGCTTACTCACCCTACCTTGCTCCATGTGACTGCTTTTTGTTTCCGCAAATGAACAGGGGCATGAAAAAGATGGCAATTTGAAAACATAGGAGAGGTGATAAAACGGGGGACGTGCTGTCAGCTTTTCAAACAGATGAGTTTGAAAAAATGTTTCCAAGCATGGAATCACAGATTTGACAAATGGATTTAGTGTAATGGAGAGGTCTTTGAAGGTGATAAGGTTGCTTTGTAAAAAAATTGAAATAATAGCTTTGGAAAAAATTCCCTCTTTTTTGGTATCCCTGTGTGTGCATATGTGACTGTATAGTAGTTATTAAAATCAAGCAAATAAAATATAACTTAGTTTGGAGTTAATGTTTAAATGTGTTTAAGTTGCTAAATTTAGTTATACAATCTTGACAACAGCTGTAATTTAGATCTCATGTCATGTTTTGTTTTGATTATGTGTAATGTTCACACATATTTAATGTACCTGTTGCCAGGGCATAGTTGCTATGGAGATACTGCTAAATTTTCCAACATTCCCATAATCAAAATTTTAACAAGAAGATTGTATTAATGTGCTTATATTTTTATTTACATTTAAGAAATAATGATGAAAGTTCTGATTTGTTGAAAGATGAACATTTATTGCGCTGAGCTTAAAATAAACATTTCTTTGCTGATTTATTTGTGATGTTCCAGATATCAACACAGTTTCATACATTTATATAAATGTGCCATCCACCTTGGAATACAGCTTCAAGAATTAATGATTTTATTAATAATACAAGTTTTATTAACACTGTGTGTCAGACCTAGTGTTGGATCCTGAGGTTAGGATATTGGTAAAACACAAGTTTGCAATTCTTGAGTATATATTGATAATAATAATCCATCTCAATTGTTAACTATTGCTCAGTATTTCCAAAAGTGGATGATACTGACCCGTGGGTGGGTACTGGAATGATGGGGTGAGTAGCAGAAGCAGATGCCTACATTTTATCTTGGATTGTGGCACACAAGTTTTTAATTTTCAGGAGGTGCTGAGTAATTCTTTTTTCCTGTGAAAGGAGCTATAGGCTAAATAAATTAGAGAATCTATAAAAATGGGTACTGATCCAGAGAAAAGATGGTACCTTAAGACTAAAATGGTAAATAATTAAAAAATATAAAAGGACACCGGCAGTCATAAATATATACAATGTACATGCTTCCTTTTCTGTAGCCTTGACATAATTATTGTGTGTATTATGTTGTTTGACTTAATGGACCCTGGTAGTGCTGTTGGGTAGGTGTTGGACTCCTAGCCAAGATTTCCAGGTCTAACCCTCCAGCCACTGCACTGGGGATATTTGACCCTATCTTATCCCTAAAATTTTACAGCCTCATAAGCTCTACATTAGGGCATTATGAGTCAGAATTAACTTGATGGCAGTGAGTTTGGTTGCTTAACTGAGTTCTTTCTGTTGTCCAGTTCTTTTGTACATTTAATGAGTAATCAAAATGTTATTGGGTTGAGCTTTCCATAAATGTTGCTAAGTACTCTCCATATTACTTATGATATGTATCACTCATGATGGCTCACATGTAACTCATAATGTCCTTATGAATAACAGAAAGAAATATTTCCACATACTGTGACATTCTCTTTTTTCAATATTCAGTCCTATCAAGAATAGTTGTACAATCATTACCACAGTCAATTTTAGAACATTTTCTTATTTTGTGTATTCATTGTTTTTAGCTCTCCCCCTGTCCCCCCCCCCCATACCCCAAAGAAACCATTTATGCAGTTACTGTCCTTATAGATTTACCTCTCCTGGATTTCATGTACAAAAAAACAAAAACAAACTGAAAAAGAAAAACACATGCCTCCCCCCAACAAATCTAACAATAACTAAGTAAAACAGAGAAAAACCTCAATAGCAAAGACAGTAGAAAATATTAAAAAGTAGAACAAATTTAAAATGAGTCAAAAGGAAGATTAAATGATAAGTATTAAATTTTAACTTAACTGCATCTATAATAATTCACTTTCCAATGTATTCTGTATAATAGCAGGGGTATTTACATCCCAGGTGTATGATTAGAAGGGATTCGCCAGAGGCTTAATCTATGCATAGACTGGGCAAATGGATTTTGAGCCTTCTGCATACCAGGTGTTCACAATTTAAGCTTTGATACCATTTTTTCCTGTGGATTTGCATTATATTATTCACAACCCTGGGATCACACAGGCTAGTGTGCTTCTTCCATGTGGACTTAATTGATGCCTTGCTTCGATGGCTGCTTGTTTTAAAACAAGCCTTTAAGACC